ACCCAAACCATTCTATGATTTTTAATTAATATTTGTCCAGTCATTTTGCTCAAGACAGGAAGACAAAAATGCTACTTACATCATGGCTTATAGTATTTAATTTTTAAATTTTTTTACGAACAATTTCTTTTGCTAACTGTTTGCCTTTTGTAAACCCTTAATTGCATTTGATTACTTGGAAGTTGTAATGGCTTTCGATTACCTTCGGAAAAAGCTCCATAACTTTATACACATTTTCTTAATACATTGTACCAATGTTGCTCATAGGTCTGCTAATCTTATATGTTGGAAAGATGTTCAGACTTTGTAAAAATAAGGTCTGCTTGTTTTCAGACTCTTCCACTCTTTATTCTTTTTTTTTTTGGTTGTGAGGTGTTTTTTTTCCTACCATTGGTTCTATCTTCTTTTGCTAGGCTGCTGAAATGGCACTCCGTTTAAGTGGAATCAATCGCTGGTGTGTCAGTGGCACTCCTGTGCAGCGAGGATTAGAAGGTGAGGTTTATATGCAGCAGTGTCATCCGTGGGTTTTCTTTGTGCTGATAATGAGTTAGCGGTTTGAAGCAGTTAAAATGCCTGGTAGTCTTGCATTCAGTTCGTTAGGTACTCTGACTTGGTAAGCCTTAAACCTTAAGCATGTAATAAAGACATCAATAAATGTATCAATATAAAAACTGCAGAGCTGAAATCCCTTTATCTCCCCGAGTTAGGCAAATACTTTGGGGTGTAAAGCATCTGTATGTCGAACAGCTGTCTCAAGTCTGTTCTTCATTTAGCAGAGTGGGTACATATTAACCCTTCTCAATTGCAGCTAAAGACAGTCTGCTCTGGTTGCAGAATCCTTGAAACTGTCAAATACAGAGAGCAAAGCCGTATTTGCTTTTTGAGTAGCCCTGTATGAACTTCCGTGGGCATCAACTGCCATGCATATAAATCCTAAAAACTGTACCAGAGCTTTATAAAACTGTCTTAAGTTCTTATGTAAGGACTTAATGATTTGAGATGTGTGGAATAAGGAGCTCTGTTAGCAGGTGTCATTTAGCTTGTCTTTTTTGAGCGTTACTCAGTTTCTGAACACAGGCTTCAGACAGATATTAAAAAAGAAAGAGAGCTGTCTTAACTGCTTTATCTCCCTGTGTTCTTTGGATTTAGGAGTATGTGCTACACAGGGAGGCAATGAGTTTGAAAGTGGATAAATCTGTGTAAGCTCTTCTGTGCATTTGGGAACAACTGTTCAGCTACCAAACTATTATAAAAATTAATATTGTAGGTTTAATTACGAAATTGTGGATTAAATTTATAAATACACATAATAGTTGTGGCAATATGTAGTTAATAAAGCAAACACTATAGAAGGAAGTGATTGATTTGACTGTGATTAACTTGTTCAAGCCCTTATATGTGATAGTGTTGATGTAATACATATCTGAAATGTCGTATTGTCCGTAAAACATGCTGGCCAGGCACTGAGGCAGCCTTCATCACATAGGGGATGAAAACTGCTGACTAATTTGAATCTGTGTCGCTGCTGCTGTAATCACGTGGCATAGGACCTCTGGGTAAACCATTCCTTCCTGCATAGAAATGACTCCTGGCACTTTTCTTCCCCTGGTCTATGATGTATTTGGTGAATGTCTTAGAGCTCTCAGCTGAATACCAGAATTACCAGCAAGCTAACATAATAAAGAATGTAGACACCAGACCTTTAAGAACTACCTGTAAAATACCATCATATGCTTCTGTTTCTGCATTGTCCACATGCAGCATCTAAACGTGTTCTTTGGTATTTTTCCAGTAAGATTTAGGTACAAATCTTACAAATTACAGTCAGTATGACCTTAAATTTCATGCCCCAGAAAGATGGGTTTCTGAATTGGGCAGAACTAGCAAGCTGTATTCTCTCAATTAGTAAGAAAACGATGAAAGTGTATTTTGTTAATTTCTTCTGCCTTAGTAGAAAAGTGAAAGTCTTCTGAATTGCAGCCCCTTTTGGGATGGTGGGCAGCAGACAGTTGGTGCACAGCAGGCTATGAAGTAATGATACTGTGTAATATTGTTGTAGAGAAACCTGGCAAACCCAGTTAAACATATGCAATCATGTAATTTCTGCCTCTCACCTCTGCTCTGAGTAGGTTTAAATTCATTGCTCTGTTCTGCTAAACTTGAAATTAGGAAAGTGTCTCACAAACAGTTACATTCCTGCAAGTTCTATGAAAATCAACCACTAGCTGAAGGAGAGAACCCCCACCTTCCCCTACCCGGTCCCCTGCCTCAAATTAGGTATTTTGGCAAGGGAATAACTGGAAAACACGTGGAAAAGATAATGGCCAGAATGTAGTTGCTTTATGCTTGGTAACCTTTCAATGCAAGTTAATTTTTTGAGGCATATTTTGAAGTGTTAAAACACAAACATTGTTCTAAAACACTTTCTTTTCTTGGCAGATCTGTATGGATTAGTCCTCTTTCTTGGAGTTGATCCTTACTGGGTCAAACATTGGTGGGACCAACTTTTATATCGACCTTACTGTAGGAAAAATCCTCAGCCTCTCTACAGTCTAATTGCCAAGATAATGTGGAGATCAGCGAAGAAGGATGTGATTGACCAAGTAAATAAGAGTTTGGGGTTTTAAAATTTCTGGCCAACATTTATCAATAGCTTTGTTTGCAAATTACTTATTTTCTTTTTTAATTGCAGATTCAGATCCCCCCTCAGACAGAAAATGTACACTGGCTTCACTTTTCTCCTGTGGAGAGACACTTCTATCATCGCCAGCGCGAGGTGTGCTGCCAGGATGCGTTGGCAAAACTCAGGAAGATTTCGGATTGGACTCTTAAGCTTAGTAGCCTCGATAGAAGGACTGTGACTTCTATTCTGTACCCTTTGCTGCGGCTGAGGCAGGCCTGCTGTCATCCGCAAGCTGTTCGGGGAGAGTTCTTGCAGTTACAGAAAAGGTGAATTTCTGTCACTTCTTAAATGGCTTGCTTTATCCAGAGCAGAACTCTGATCATCCCTAACGGTGCAAGATCTTGTACAGTTCTCAAACCTAATTTTAAGCTTCTTCATTTAAATGTGCAACTATGCCACACCAAGCTGACCTCCGAAGTTGAACAGGATGTAGTAGGGAAGTCAGTGTAATTCTTATGCTAAAGAACACGGTACTGAGGCAGTGGTTTGTGCAGTAACAGTTCAACTTTGATGCTGATGGATATTAGGGTGTTGCAGCTGACAGACTGAGTGTGAAACAAATCAGCTTGTCTTTCAGCTTTAAAAAAGCTCACTGATCTTTGCAAGAGGCAAAACTCATGTTCATAAATGAGAAAAATGAATAAAATGGATAAACAGAATGGAATAATTCTTTAATTCAAAGAAAATGTTATTAATGGAAGGTTGCAAAATTTGTAAATGTAAATCTGAACTAGAAAGCTGTTTGAATGCTTTTTTTTCTTGCCCCCTTTCCCCTGCTTTCAAGGTCATCTGCCTCACAAGTGCCCTGCAAATACCAGTTTGGCCTCAGCCTTTGGTAGACTGAAACCAGGTTGCCAGCACTCTGCAAAATGTAGCTGCTACTTTTCAGTCAATTAGAAGGGGGGTTGTGATGGAACAGGCTGTTCTCATTCCAGGCTCTCAGTGCACTGTGTGTGTTGGTTCTGTTCTTCAGCTACAAGTAGGGGAGAACTTAAACTTTTTAACACTGTCAGTGTTGTTTCTACTGTTTCCTGCTCTTGTTCATTCTATTCACTCTCTTTGTATCCTTTTATGAAACTTTGTGTCCTATTCCTTCTGCTTTCTCATACGGGGCATCTACGGTGCCTAAACAGCTGTAACTGACTTTGCACCTACTTCAGCAGGGACCAATAGTAGGCACTGTGCTGTAGCACTTTCTGTCTAGCAGTCTGCTGGTGTGGAAGCAAGGACTCAAACACTGGAGAAATCAATATTCCCACCAGTCCATACAAGATATCTGCAACTGAATAAGCTAGTGGAATACGCATTTTCCCTAGTCTTCCTTTTATCGTTGTCATATTTTATAGAAGCTTTTCTTGTTGCCCTTGACATCCCTGGCCAGATTTAATTCTATTTGAGCTTTACCTTTCCTAACCTGATCCCTGGCTGCTCAGACAATTTTTCTGTATTCCTCCCAGGCTTCCTGTCTCTATGTAAAAAGAAAATTTGTTTCCAAGCACTATCTATATTTTTTTTCTGTGAACCAAACTTGACTGCAGCAGTAGATGCTCACAGAATAGAGAGAAGATTTGGCTCCTGGCTTTGCTTGTACGTATGAGAATAATGAAGACATTCAGTGCTAGAAATTCAAAGAAAAGAAATCTAGTGGGACAAGAAAGCTGAGTTCGGAGCATAATCTATGCTAGATGAATTTTTTTCCTTCACCTGTATCGTGAAGGCACTAAATTATAACATTTGCTCAGCAAAAAAACAGCCCTCAAAAGGGAGTTTTCTAGGCTTCCCTAGTTAAACTGAGTAAAAAACCCCAACATCTTCTTTTGTCTTAATTAGTAGTCTCAGACTGTGTATTATATTGTATACTGTATATGTACATCCTTTTGCTTTTATATTTTTTCTTGTATCTCCTGAAGATTTTGAAAGTGAGTGGTATTTCTACCACTGCTACTTACCTAAGTACGAGAAGCAAGTGCTCTGTGTGTTTGCCAATACCTCAGCAGAATTCTGCTAATTATAAGAAGTAATTCTATTGCCTTAAGGCATGCTGTAGCATGAACTTCAGGAACAGAGTGGGCAAATGAACAGTGTTGTAGAGGGGGTCAGGGATGCCAATCCGTCATAGCTTGGGCCCAGACTGCACAGCAGTTAGGTCACCTCTTACTCTGCTCCACGGCACTAAAGGCCAAATAGTAAATCCTTTTTCTGAAGGTGAATGAGGCTGAGGAGCAGTGCTTCAGGGAGGGGGATAGTGTCTGGTCTCATGCAGCAATTGCTCATAGAAGCAGCCTCAGGTCAGCTGTTGTAGACTGTTATTGCAGTTTACTCTTTTGTCACTTTGCATCAGGCTTCTCCCTGCCTGGATTCTATGTCCCTTGGCCATATTCCAAGCTTTCTTTTGTGCTTCTTTTTTCTCATCTCTGTTCTTGCTTCTCTCTTACCTCTTAATTTCCTATATTTTTATGTTAAGCTAGTTATCTTCTGACTAAGTGTCTCTTACGAATTACAAATATTACAAACAAATGTAGAAAAGGAAGTTTAAAATTATAATACTTGCTAATCTTCACTATTCTCATTTCACACATTTTCTCTTCACTGTTACATCTGTTTCACGGGTTTAGGCTGGTAGCGAGGGGGAGAAAGGTACTCAGCTGTTTTTCTTTGAACAGCTTATACCAAAATGCGTTCTGTTTTTGCTTGTTTCCAGTTCACCACTATAACAGAAGGAGCAGAATATTTTGCCCCGTGAAGGTTTCTTTACCTTCTTCTAATTTTCCTTGTTTCCTATAGCTTTCTGGTTTTAGTAGGCATCTACCTCTTGACGTACTCAAGTTGGAGTAAAGCTCTGTCTGAAAGAAAAAGTGACAACTAGGGTTTTTTCAATAAGTAAATAGATGTCAGTTAAACATTTGCACCCTATGTTGGATGCGTGTAACAATCTTTCGTGCTGCACAGCATGACCATTTTACTTCTCTAGTATTGTGGTTTTGTTTCACATGTGAGCTGTTTGGTCTCCACTGCAGCACCATGACCATGGAAGAACTGCTAACATCCTTGCAGAAGAAATGTCGAACGGAGTGCGAGGAAGCTCACCGACAGTTGGTGTGTGCTCTGAACGGCTTAGCTGGTATCCATATCATTAAAGGTAAGACTGGATGGTTGTAGCACACTCTTTACTCCTTTTAGTAGGCTAATTGTGGTTTAGATGACAGCATGTGAAAACAGCAGCTTCTTTGAATTTGGTGAAAAAGACATAGTGAAATCCTGGGAAACTGAAGAGGCTTGTAGCAGTGTTTGTAACAGAAAACAGCATTTGTTCTAGATGAGGGAGAAAAACACAGGTGTAGTGCGGTGCATCTTTGAGATGTCTTGGGGTATTTCTGGCCTTTTTGTTTTATATTCTTTCTTGACTTTATCGTTTGTGTACTGGGAGGATAAAAGAAGTCATACGTGTGTAATTGTACTTAACCTGCTTTTGTTTTATCAGTACTGCTTTCTGGGCTCCCTTGTGCCCCCCCTTTTTTTCGCCCCCACATAAACTGCTGAACATGGGACCTGTTTGCTGTGCCTGCTATACAGCTCTGTCGATGTAGATTTTGTCTGAAATAGGAGGAAAAAGAAGTTTTGAATGGGTAACAAAAACTAATATTAATCTTAAATGTCCCACTTAAACAAAATAATAAATTAAAATGACATAGTCATGTATCTGAAAGAAATGCCTCTTTGCCAAGTTGACAAACTGCTTGAATTTTTCCAGCTCATGTCAAAGTCTTCCTTCAAAGGGAACAAGCAAACTGCCTGTTCTGTTACTTGCCTTCAGAAAGGCTACATTCAGTTTCTCTAGTCTGTAGTTAGTAGGCTTGAAATACTTGGATTGCAGGATGGAGATCAAAGTTTTCGGGTAGAATTAAGCACTTAAAAAGATTTCTATACAGCCATTTATAAAATAGACTAGTAGCAAAAATTAAGTTTGGCCATTTTTGAAAAGAAGATTAACAATTGCATGTGGTGAGAAACAAAAGCAGGACTGAGGCAGGGTTCTGGTCTGTAGCTCTAGGATGTTTGTGTTGATTGTTTCTCCTTTCTCACTGAAGGATCAGTTAAGGTCACTTTTATGTTTGCTAGCACACTTTTACACCTTTCTCTTTCTTCATTGGTCTGCAGCTCCACATTAACACCAAATTTAGTGTACATGATGCCTTTTATGAATGTTACATACTATTTCTTTGTTCTCTTTGCCCCTAAAGCCAGTTTTGTCCAGCTCTAGGTCTGCATTTCTTTGACTGTGGGTGAGTTGTTTATAGCCCTGGCTTCCTTATTCACTGCCAAGCCTGTGCACCATCTCTTAGCATCCCATGGCTGTACTCCTCTACACTGCATCCTATATCTTTACTTTCCAAGGCCTTTGCTATTGTAACTAGGCCTGTATTTCTCCAAACTACATCAGTGTGTTAGTTGTAAATATCTCATTCTTCATAAAATAACTGCTTGTTACTGCTATCTATATAAAGCTGTGATTGTACCACACAAAGATAAACAAAAGTAAAAACAAAGAAAAAAAATTAGGCGTAGGCACCTGGTGCATTACAGAAATTGCTGTCACAGCTAAGGAAAAGGTGCAGGCAGGTCAAGAAAAAGTGAAATGAGGCCTGACAAGCCTCAGCCTTGAGGCCTTGCAAATTCAGCATGTAACTTTTGGCTTGTACTAGTAATGGGAGTAGTGTATTGCAGGACTATACCCTTAAAACTGGCAATTCTTGCAATGTGAGAAACAACAAATGTTGAAGTAGCGTAACCGAAAAGTAACAAAGAAAACTCTATACAAAATCATATTTTCAGAAGCCAACACAGAATTATTGCAGAGCTGGGTGCATTGGGTGTATCTCTGCCTAGCATGCACTCTGAACAGAGCTTTTTGAGCTGTATTTATCCACAAAACCTTTAGATCCAGTAATTTCCCAATCCATCCCCCTTTACAGTGCTTGGTTATACAGTTATAATATTACTGGCACACTACTTCCACTGTAATGCATGCTCAGGGGAAGGGTCTTCACCTAGGTAGGGGTTTCTTTGACCTATGGGTGTGATTTTTAGTATTATAATCAGCCGTTATTGAGCAAAGTTCATAAAAAAAAAAAAAAAAACCAACACACCAGAATTCTTAAGATGTCTTCTAATTTATAAAAACACTTCTCAGCTTATAAGGACACTGCTGAGATATTAACGAGCCTGTACCCTCCTGCTTTTGATGAGCAAGGGGCTCCTCTCCTGTAATCAAACCTTTCCCAGTAATGTGGTTTGGGAAGAGATACTGAGAATCAGGGTATTGTCAAAATCCCAGTCGTGCTCTGAAAAAGTACAGGGCACCGCTAGAATAGTGAGACAGTGTATCCTCAATGCAGCTTAACATCTGAAACGTCGTTAGAACTAGCACCTTGACCAAAATAACTTAACATAGTGAGAGGAATAGAGTCAAACTAGCGGATCCTCATCATAACAGAGCAGTGCAAATCTAAGAAAGTGTAGTGAGATCATGTAGTGTGTAACAGAGCACAGTGGGAAAGAGGAATTAAGTCAAAACAACTAATCCTAATCAAATACCATTGAAACAGAACATGTTACAACCAGAAACAGCACACAGTGAAGAATAAAATGTTGTCTGGCAGTTTAACACAGAAAGGCATTTCAATTGTATATTATTTTAAGAATTAACCTTTAACATTGCTGTCAGCCTAACACAGAGCAAGAACATCTCAGTTACTGTATTATTGTAAGGGGTAACCTTTGACACTCCGGCTTGTCAGTCTGACATAAAGAATAAATGCATTGGGCCTGTAACAGTAGGGCTGTTACACTTCCAGATATGTAGGAAGATGATTTTTGTTTTACTGTTACCTGTCTGTATACATTTCGCGTCCCTGTAATTCTACATGTTTTCACAGTCTTCTAAGACTATTACTGGCTAAATAAATCTTTCAGTTCAGAAAAGAAAATAAAAATAGATATTTTTTTTTGCTGCTTTTCCATATGTGACTTCAATTTCCTGTTTCTTTTTTTTAAATTTATATAATCTGTTTTCTGAGAAGTGATCGTTATGTTAGCTTTCATCAGTAGTTATGCTCCCTGCATGTATTTAATCATTTCTGCATTTCTGACGTATGACATAGCTTTCATTGTTTTCACTGGAAGAGTGAATAATGTATTTTCAGTGTGAGTTTAGTAATGCATCGCTGGTGAGTTGTAGCTGACGTTTTTTTAGTGCAATGTGTGAGATTTTCTGGATTTATGCAACTGTGAATACGTATGTTAAGATCAAGAAGTCTACAGATTTTGCAGTCTCAAATATATTTAATTCAGAAAATGCTTTAGTCTTTGTAAAATGTAATACTTCCTGTCTTTTGACAGTTGGTTTTGGGTTGTTTTTTTTCTTGGGGGGGTGGAGGGTGACAAGGAATAGGGAAGATTTGCCTGAAGACAAACAGAATATTTTACAGCCTTTCTGAAAATGTCTTAGTATGTTAAAAGTGATGGCCAGTCCTGGCCGTTTGTGTATTTAAAAACCAACATAATATGTGTACGTGTGTTTTTGTTACTCTCTTCGAATTCAGGAGAATATACATTGGCTGCAGAGCTGTACAGAGAAGTGTTAAGATCATCTGAAGAGCACAAAGAAAAGCTCAAAACAGATTCATTGCAGGTGAGTGAGCATTCAAATGTCAAGAGACATAATTAAGAACTGGAATAGTTTAGATTTCATTTAACAGGTCAGTCTTGTCTTCCTCCCAGTGATGTGCTGAGTGATTCTTTCAGCTTCCTGTCATTATCACAAACTTTAGGTAGGAATCTGTCAAGTGACCTTCACGTTTCCTTTTTTTTTTTCTTTTTTTTTGAAGCTGCTGTATTTCTAGTAACCTTTGCTTGTGAGTCTTCATGGTATCCCAGAAACAGTGTATGATCTCCACCTGCTGTTCTGCAACAAACCTAACAAGCTGAATTCTTAGACTTGTGAATGTGATTGGCTGCTCACATTAATGGTACTATATTACCTGCTGCAAAACGAGGATGCTGTGTTTCCACTGAGAATAACATTAATGTGCCAAATGGTGGAGAATAATAAAATTACTGCACTGCAGAAGATGTTCACTGAAAGGGCATCAAAACATGAAAAAGTACCAAAGTGAATTTTCTCTTCAGGAAATCTATTAATAGATTCTGAAAACTGTATTAAAAAATGAGTATAATTTCCTTATTAAAAAGCAGTGGTTTTGTAAGTTATGTCTTCATATTTCTTCAAGAAGTGTCAGTTACAAATTGACAAAAATTCTTGTAAGCATAACAAGATATTTAAATGTTAATAACAAGTAAATAAGAAGTCATCAGTTGTCTATTTCTTCACTTTGCTTGCTTCGTTAACTTATTTGATTATTTTGTATGTGGCCATCTGTTGGCTCCATTTCACTGCTTTGAGCCTTCCTTCTCTTTTGTGAATTCCCAGAGGCATTTTTCACTTAGCATGGCTGTATCAGCATAATCTTGTTAAGCTACTCATAGTAAGTTTGTTAATAAAGTTGTTTTACTGGAATTATGCAATCCAATAAAGGGCTTTTCCCTCAACATGTACACTGCCTAATTCTACCTTTGTGTAATAGAACTCAGCTTCTGTTGAGCACTTCCTGGCTGTGTAGGTGTAGCTCTTGAAGCTAATGCCAAACTGCTGCTGTCCAGTGCTCTTCAGTGGCTGAGGCAGTAATAGGGCAAAGGTGAAGTGAATCCCATGAGGTGAGAAGAGCACAAGTTCCTCTTGGGGGGCAGGGGGGAAGGCCTAATTTTAAATTAATGCTAAGTTCTTGCTGTAAGCTTTCATTGCTGTTTAAGCTTTGTGTCACAGATGTTGCAATGTATTTTTTTTCTCCATGATTGCTGTTGACTTTGTGTACGTTCAGAGACTTCATTCCACACACAATTTGATGGAATTGTTGGCAAAGCACCCAGGAATTCCCCCAACTTTGCGTGATGGCCGGCTTGCAGAGGAGGTAAACATTGTTCATTTTTATATATATACATTTTGAAGAGCACCTTTTTATTTTTTTTTTTTAAATCCTTCAAGATTTTGTCTAACTGAAGAAGTAACATTAACTTGAAAGCTACGTATGTACGTTTCCTTTCAGGTTAGTAAAATCAGGAGTTGCTCAGTGTGAGATATGAGACCAAAAATGTCCAGCAAAATGCTGCTGTTCAGAATGTCTGATCTCTTACGTTGTGAGTGGGTTTTATGGAAACTTTAATAATTATGCCTAAAATGTGATTTCCCCACCCCCACAATGTTCTTGTGGAAATAATTTACATACATGTTACTGATAAAGAATGCATCGTCCTGAATTCTTTTGAGCCCTTATTTCCTCACGTTTTCTTTAGCCTTTCTCATTTTAACTGCAGATAGTCAGAATCTTCTGTAGGTTAAATTTATTTGTCTTGCATATGTGCCCTCCATTCCAAAACACTACCCCATCTCCTAGTAAATATAAGCTACTACTGTCTAACGCATGTTCTGCATCATGCCTTGAAGCTGTTTCTCTACCTCTTTTTGCTCCTGTATATGGAACAGATAATACTTTCTTTGAAATGTTCCTGACAAGGTCCTGATTTGTGGAGTTCATAGCCTAAAGTTTGCCAGTGGCATCTGTCCAGGCTCTCCCTGTATTACCCATATTGTACTCACATGCCCTGCAGCATCTGGTTCATCCTTGTCACTCTTGTACTGCCTGAACATCTGGAAAGATTGACCATCTTTGGCCAGAAAGAACGCACTGTGTGACTGTGTGCATAAGCCTGCCTAACTATACCTTTAATTTTAACAGGGCAAGTATCCGGTAGATAGCTGGGATCACTGCTCCACACTGGTTACTCGTAGTGCACATGTGGACCACACGTGCAAAAGAACATACATAGTTAGTGTGCCACCATTTGGGTTGGAAAGTACCCTGGGCTGTCTCTAGCTGAAGCTCCTGTTCAGAGCAGGGTCAACACTGATTTCTGAGCAAGTAGCTCAGGGCTTTATCCAGTTGGGCTGTTAAAACCTCCAAAGAAAGAAATTTTCTAACTTACCTGAGCAAACCCATTCCAATGCTTCATAATGCTCATGGTGGGGAGGAGTCATCACCTAGAACCACCCGTTCCAATTTATAGGCGTTGTCCTTTGTGTACTTGCTGTGCACTTCAGTAAAATACCTGGCTGCTGCTCCTTGGTGACTTCTTTCTGGCTGCTGGAAGGCTGCTGTTTTGTACTCTCTAAGCCTCTTTTCCAAGCTGGACAAGCCCAGTTTTTTCAGCCTCTTCACTTACACGGTGGTGATGAGTATCTGTCTTATTATTTGGATGTCTTGTGATATTTTATTATTTTTATGCAAATTCTGTGCATACGTAGCATTTTTTCCTGTTCTAGTGAGACCTGTTTCCTTAAATATATAAAGTAGTTTCTACCAGCCTTTATAGAAATTATGCCCATTTTATTGACCTATGCCTCCAGCATTTTTCTATCTCACCCCTCCTGACATTATTGTAAATAAGATTGGAAAACTTGTATTTTACTTATAAATTTGAAGGAAAAATTGTTTCTTATAGCTCTTACCAGTAGCTCATTCAAACACCTGAGACCCCTGTCCACTCCTGGTAAACTGAGCTCCATCTGTAACTATAATTATCTTGATAGTAGCAAACAAAAAGACAGACGTAGGGTGCATTTAAAATACAGAAAATAAAGGTATCTAGTGAAATCGTAATGTCATGGTGGAATATAGGGTTGTGTGTACATGTTACTTGTAACAAATATAACTTACGTGTTCATCAGTTCTTAAAATATCAAATAATTATAATGTGAAGACACCTGCATAACAAGGAGTTCTCACCGTCAGAAGTAATTTTTATGAAAAATTGTATCTGCACCTAAAAATAAGTTTAAATCTTCCTTATTTTATGGATAAGTTTTATATGTAGGTGAGTTAAGTTTTTCCTGTTCTCAGATTGTTCTAGGATCTATTTATTGTCTACTTTATTCAACACAAGGTATTTTAATGCTCAGGGAAGTAAGAATTCAGAGTTAAATTCCAGTTCCTTTTTGTAATGTAATATGTTGTTTGTATTAGTCCAAAACCAAAATTGCCTAGTTGGCATCTTTGTAGTTGTTTGTCTTCTCAAAAATTTTTTTGTGGTGAGATTTTAGAGGAAAAAATTAACGGTAAATACTGCTCATGGATGAAAGGAGGTAGCACATACATAGCTAAGAGTTTTAAAACATTGTGGTAGCTGGGGAGTTTTTACATTCTCACTTATTCCTCAAAAGTGAGTTGTGCATAATTTAAGCTCTTACTTCCATACAGGCCCAACAACTTCGACAGCATTATATGAGTAAATCCAATGCAGAAGTTGCAGAAGCCCATCAGGCTTTACAGCCAGTTCTTCAGACCATTAGGGAGCTCCAAAGAAAGGCAGGTACCTCTTACATGTTTAGTCTCTGAATTTTGAGTATTTTTTTAAAAAATACTTTTTTCATCTGTTTATCCAGATCTCCTGCTGTTTATTATCTCTAACAGTTCTTGGAAGGCCTTTTTGGAACGAGTCTCTCAGTGAGCGCACACACACAGAGCCCCAAAACCTATTCTGTGTTCTCCACGCACACCAGCACACACAGTACTTGGGGAACAGATCACTAAAAGCAGAGTATGTGGTGGGGTGATAAGTTTAACACTGGCCTTGACTTGTATGTTAACTGTGCTTCACCTGTAATTCAGATAAGTTACAGGTGTTGGCCTTAAAACATTTCTGTGGTGTGTCAGATGGTATTCTGGTAACTTTCAAAGGAACTGTTCTTTGATAAACATGTAGCCGTTGTGCTTAAGGCTTGGTGGTGTTTAGTCCATATGACAATTCAGGTTTCATGGAAAAGTGCAACCCCTTCATCAGTTCATTAGCACCTGAGTTGAAATGCTGCTTGTCACGTGCACAGTTGTAAAGAAACAATAAAGAAACGGGGGCAAATGGCACATAAGGATGGTAACTGCTGCATCTTTCACCTCTTAAAATTATAAGGTTACTTCAGTGTTGCTCTATTAATTTCACAGAGAGCTTGCTTCCTCTGAATAAATGGTTCTCTCTTCTGTTAGAGAGAAGAAGGAAACTTTTCTATCACAATAGCTCTATGTGGCTATTCTGTGTAGATGGCTGAGGCAATTGAAGGTGTGGAAGTAGATGGGAGTAGAGAAAATATCTTAGTCATATATGCACTTTAACAGGAAAAGGAATGATGTTTTGTAAGCACGCTCTCATCTTTTACTTTCCATGGAATTTACCCATCTGTGGTTGAGTGTGGCCTAAAGAGTAGTATAAGCCTCTGCTGCAATGAGTGAACTGGTGGTTTGTTGAACATTTGTGGATAAATACGTATTTTGTGTACAGATACATGCGAGTTCTCCTTGGTGGCTGGATGTCATCCACACAGCAATACAGTACGCCATTGATGAGGAGCTTGTGCAACGTGTGAAAAATGAAATAACCAGCAACTACAAACAGCAGACTAATAAACTCTCCATGGCAGAGAAGTAAGAAAATGGCTAAAATAAACTAATGAGTACAGTTCAATCTGCTCAAGTCCTCTTACTGTTTCTGCTAAGAGTTGCAATTACGTAGCAGGCATTTTTGCTTTGGAGCATCTGGGCTGCAATTAAGTTTCAAAAACAGACCCCAAAAAGCATAGCTAGATAGAAGACCTGGAAAAAAGGCAGGAGAATTAGTTTTTTCCTAGACAAGCATTTTTTTAAATGTTCCTTTGTATTATCTACTCTGGTTTTAATGTCTTCTGTACTCATGTAACTGCTAAGCAAGAAATATTCAAAGTTTACTACATTAAAATTGAGTAACCTCTAAAAGAAATTAACTTGCTTAAGTGGGAAGTAGGTGCTATTAGAAAATGTGTAACTGCATAAAATAGCATCACTATTTTCCTAAGCAAAGAATTTTGGTTTGATTTCATGTTCAAGGCAATAGTATCACTGGTGTGCAATTACAGAATAGTGGATTGGGACATCTGGAGGTCACTCAGACCAACCTGCGGATTAGAGATCCAAGTCCATGCTCAGAGGCTCAGCCCAGTCAGGTTGTGCAGGGATTTGTCCTGTTGAGTTTAGGGTGTCTCCAAGGAGGGAGATTTCATAGCCTCTGTATGAAGCCTGTTCCAGTATTTGACCCACCTCATTGGAGAAAAAAAAAAAAGCCAAATTTAAAACTACTTCTATCTAGTTAATATTTCCTGTGTTGCATCTTGTTGTCTCTTGTCCTTTCACCATGTGCCTTGGAGAAAAGTTTGGCTCAGTCTTCTCTGTACCTTCCAGTTAGGGGAGACCTTTTTGCTTTATTCATCTATGTGATGTCATTTTAATGCTGAATAAACCCTTTTCTCCCAGTCTCCTCTTGTATGTTCTGTGCTCCAGCTCGGTAGGTTTGTTACAGAAAAAACACAGGGAGGAGAGTGCTCTCACAGTTAACTTCAGGCAGTTTTCTCTAATACATGAACAGTCCTTATCTTCTTTCTGATCATAAGTCCTTCTGAATCATGTTTTAGTTAAATACATATTTTTATTTTATTTCTATATGTATGTATATGCATTTATCTACATCTCTTTTTACATATGTGTATATAAAATGTGTGTGTGTAAATATAAATACTTACAATATGCACAGATTTCAATTAAATATGTAAAGACCTATCCTCCAGTATGACTACTCAGTCATCATGATCTCTAAAGGTGGCAGTTCCTTATCCTTGTAGGAAGTAAGCTTGTATTTTACTTCTCAGTACTTTATTTAGATTATTCAATACAATTAAGATACAAACCTTTACCTCTTCTTTCTTCAAAACTCAGCATAATTCAGAGAAGGAAGAAGGAAATTCTGACTGGTCAAAGTGGATATAGGAGCCACCCAGCTGGAAAGCACCTTTGCAGAAAAGGACCTTGGGGGTTATGGTGGACCCCAAGTTGGCCCTGAGCATTCTGTGTGCTCTTGTGACAACGAAGGCTAATGGTATCCTGGACTGCATTAGGCCAAGTATTGCCAGCAGGTTGAGAGGGCTGATCCTTTCTATCTACTTGGTGCTGAATCCACCCCTGGAGTACTGTGTCCAGTTCTGGGCTCCCCAGTATAAAAGAGATGGACTTACTGGAGAGTCCAATAAAGGACCAACATGGTGATAAAAGGACCAACTGTGTCCTGGGCTGTATCAGGAGAAGTGTGGCCAGCAGGTCCCCAGGGGGAATTCTCCCCCTCTTCTCTGCTCTCGTGAGACCTCACCTGGAGTACTGCGTCCAGCTCTGGGGCCCCCAACATAAGAAGGATATCAACTGGTTGGAGAGAGTCCAGAGAAGGCCACAAAGATGCTCAGAGGACTGGAGCACCTCTGCTATGACGAAAAGCTGAGAGAGTTGGGCTTGTTCAGCCTGGAGAAGAGAAGGCTCCCGGGAGACCTTATTGTAGCCTTCCAGTACCTGAAGGGGCTACAAGGGTGCTGGGGGGGAGTTTTTACAAGGGCCTGTAGTGACAGGACCAGGGGTAACAGGTTTAAATTGAAAGGGGGGAGGTTTAGATTAAATACTATGAAGAAGTTCTTCACGGAGAGGGTGGTGAGGTGCTGGAACAGGTTGCTCAGAGAAGCTGTGGATGCCCCATCCCTGGAACTGTTCAAGGCCAGGCTGGATGAGGCTTTGAGTAACCTGGTCTAGTGGAAGGTGTCCCTGCCCATGGCAGGGGGGCTGGAACTAGATGGTCTTTAAGGCCCCTTCCAACTCAAATGATTTTATGAATGGGGCATCTCTCTTTATAGGAGAGGCTGAGAGAGCTGGGACTGTTCAGCAGTTCAGGATAGGCTTCTCAATGTATATAAATATCTCAAGGGAGGGTGCAAAAAAGATGGAGCCAGGCTCTTTTTAGCAGTGCTCAGTGACAGCACAAGAGGCAATGGGCACAAACACAGGAGGTTCCCCCTGAACATCAGGAAATGTTAGGGTTGGTTGGGTTTTTTTTTTTTTCCCCCTCAATGTAAGGGTGACTGAGCACTGGCACAGGTGGTTTTTTGTTTTTTCTCATGACATTAGCTCTTTAGGCAGAATCTCTTAAATTTGTTGCTGCTTACAGGTTGCATATACTTTTGAAAAGCTGTGACAACTTTCTTTTCTAAAACAGGGATGAAACTTATTTTTTAATTTAACATATGGAATAAAAACCTATAAACCATAGGTGTTATATGAAATATTACTGGTCATTGGTGGCAGCAACAAGTGCTTGTCTCTAGTTGAGTATTAGAGACTGTTAATCCAGGGTACAGTGTGGGAGACTTCCAGAAATCTGGAATATTTGGCAACTGATGGTATTAAAAACAGACTTGTGATTGCAATTTACATGTATTTTCAGACTACCTGGTTAGGCACTCATCTGTTTTATTTTAAAACATATATTGTGTAAGTAGGTCCTATTAAATGCTAAACTTCAGTGGTGTTAAATCTGTGTTTTTTCTCTCCACACTTTATAGAAGGGACGTTTTGCACTGCACTTTCCATATGGGGTAGAGCCACAGTTTTGTAATACTGTCTTGTAACTGAATGCCAGACCTTGTATGAATGGTGCACTCACGGCAAGACACCCCTGCTCACAGGAAAGTCACAGTATGAGAAATGCTTAACTGGTATTCATGTTCCCACTCCCATCAAAACAGTCAGCTAGGTTTTAGGAAAGTAGTTCGCTGACATGTCCACTTAATAATTTTAACTTTGAAAGCTAACTTGCATAATGCAGTGTATTTTTGTGATGGGTGCAGGTGTCTGCTGTGGATTGCACAGATGCATTGAAAATTAGTTTGGCCAACAGATGCAAATAAGACTATAAGTATGTTCAGTTGCTTACCTTCAGTAGATTTCTATTGTGGACCAGAGTGTTTGCAGGTTGGTGTTGATGGCCAATATTCATTTGCATTTCTGAAGTCTTGTAAAGAGCCTTTCTATTGTAAAAATACCAGGCATCCCAGGGGATACAGTGGAATGATTTCCAACAGCTAGCATAATGTGTAGCAGTAATAAGCATTTGCTTATGATAAGAAATTCATGTATTGTCTTATATAGCTATTAAGCTATTTCTCTTCTACCTTAAAGTAGTAAATTAAGTTTGGATTCAGTGACTCAGTGTGCAGTTAGTTCCCTTTTTCGTTAAATCAGATTCCGGGACTGCAGAGGCCTTCAGTACCTGCTCACAACCCAGCTGGAGGAAGTGAAGAAGTTCCAGAAGATTGTAAGAGAAGCAGTGAAAAACTTAGAAGGCCCTCCCTCTAAGCAGGTTATTGAGGCTGCCACGATCTGCCATTTGCGACCTGTTAGACTTCCGCTTAACAAGTATGTCTTGAAAAAAGAAAATGTGCTTTAGAGGTCTATTATTAAGTTTTCCTTCATTTGAAATAAGAGATTGAAGTCTTTTATTCTGTACTTGGGGTTTGTACACACACAGGTATCTAGATTCATTTGTTACCATCCTGACCTTTCTTTGGTTTTGTTCTTGTAAAGTCTTGTCCAGTCACTTGCTATATTGAATGTACATAAGGCTGTTAAATTGTTCTTTTTAAAGGATTTTTATGTGGGTTTTTTATGTTGAATAGGCAATTACAGGAATTAGTTTGGTTTCTTGTGAAATTGAGTGCTTGTTTTCAACCTTCTGTATTGCAGCTGTGTCTTTTGTAAGGCTGATGAGCTGTTCACAGAATACGAGTCGAAGCTCTTTTCTCATACGTAAGTTCATAGCTTTATAAAACAATCCAACTTTTGCTTTTTTTATAGTGAGAAGCTTATATTTTTTACTTTATGTTTTCTGAAATAGCTTAATGAAGAAATTACAGCAGATTCTCTGTAGTGGACTTGATAGCAATTTTATTAGTCAGGTTTGATTTTTCTATCTAAATTTCATTTGAAAAGTTGTGTACAAGGAACAAATACATGCCACTTTTTCTTAAGCTGCTATAGTATGACCATAAGTTTGAAATTAAGTGTTCAGAAAGTGTGGGTATAAATACAAGCATGCTAATTAAGCGTATATTCCCGTTTCTGCAAATGTTTGCACTTTAGTTGCAAACGGTATGATACCGTACTTGTTCATAGATTATTTTTTTTAAACGTGGAAGTACAAAGATCAGTGATAAATACCGTGTTGGGTTTGTTTTTAAGTGTTAAAGGCCAAATGGCAATATTTGAGGAGATGATAGAAGATGAAGAAGGGCTTGTTGATGACCGTTTGCCCACCACAAGTAGAGGACTGTGGGCCACCAGTGAAACTGAACGTGCCTTGAAAGCTCTTCTCTCCTTTGCCAAAGCTCACCGAATGGATGTTAAGCTAACTGAAGAAGGCAGTGTGTTTCTGGAACTCTTTGAAGCATGGAAAAAGGAGTATAAGGTGCAGTAGATGAGACGGTGATGGAACAGTTGTGTAGTCTATTTAACGTAATATAAACAATTTAAGCTGAGTATGTACAAATCTAAGTTGTATTCCTGATATTAGGGTTTACCACTTTTCAGTGTTTATTACAGGATTCTAGTTTAAATGTTTTATGTATGATTTAAGAGTTTCTAAAGGCTAGACTGACTACTAAGCAAATTAGTAAGCAATGTAATTGCATCTATTAAGATACCATACAGATATAATTAAATGTGTTTGTTTAGTTAAATTAACATGTAGAATTTTGTAGAAATTTAGATTGGATATCAGGAAGAAATTCATGGAGAGGGTGGTGAGGCACTGGATCAGGTTGCCCAGAGAAGCTGTGGATGCCCCATCCCTGGAAGTGTTCAAGGCCAGGCTGGATGAGGCTTTGAGCAACCTGGTCTAGTGGAAGGTGTCCCTGCCCATGGCAGGGGGGTTGGAACTAGATGGTCTTTAAGGACCCTTCCAACCCAAACCATTCTGTGATTCTGTGAAACTGAAAGTTGGTCCATTCTAATTCAGTTTTTACCTTCAGTCTTGTGCTAGCTAAAAATGTCCTTTCACTATTGCTTTATTTCCTGTATCTTTACTACACAGTGTAAACAGAAATAATTAGTCTCCTGTAGTTTGGATCAGAGAGAACTATAGGAGTGTACTGTGGCTTTCTTCATGCATCCTTGTGCCATCTGTGTTTCCTTGCAGTAACTGCATACTAGTGAAGGAGAAGGGGGAAGACCTGTTGCACACAAGGGTCCCATCCTACAGCTTAGATGTAATCAAAAGTGTTTTCTCTTGAATGCTGCTGCTTCTCATTTTTAATTAAAACAGACTTCAGCTTCAGTAGGACACACTTGGTACATTAGTGTTAGGTTTATTGACTCTTCGTACAGGTTTGTTTTTTGTGGTCATACAAGAGAAGAAATTCCTGTTCCTTGAAAGGTTTTCAACCCTGTGATCTTTCTCCCAGGCCTTCTGTTTCATGATTCTAGGAAATTGTCACTTAACTTGCTTTTTTATAGGAGTTTTTGAAAAAGCAACAATACTTCATGCAAAACTATGCTATTCAAGATTTTAAACATTTGCTTTAGTCCATAGAAGAGAAGGTATTAAAGTGAGTGATCCATGTATCGTAGATTAACTAATGGAATTCAGTCTGTCTTTGTTTTTCAGCCAACTTAGTTACTGACCACCTACTTTCCTCAAATAGGTGGTGCTGCTTAGGAGTAAGACTTAATCTGGAGCTACCTTTAAAACACCCCTAAACCTAGGTTACAGCGTAATGCAGTTCAAAATCTTTTTAAACAAAGTGACACGTCAATCAGCATGTAGGTATCTGATAGCTGGAGTTATTAAACACCTAATAAAGTCTGCTTTCACAAAGTCAGGTCACTTGCTTGTGGTACCACAATGCTGATTGGAGAATAATGACCCTAGCTGTTCACATGCTTCATTATTTTATGTCCTTGGCTTAACAAGCCGTTAATGAAAGCAGTTAACAAAAGGAGGAGGACATAAGGTAGCCAGTTACCAAGGCATTGCTGTGTGTGTTGGGGATTTTCTGCTGCAAGAAGCGAACAGTCTCTTCACATCCTTTTACTTCAGGCAACAAGAAATGGGACTGATACATCAGTGAGAATGAAAATAGTGCTGTCACAATTCTGTCTGTCGTGACTTGGAAATGCTGATTCAGTTGTCCATACTATTCTAATCTACATGGACCTATAGGGATGATAGGCCGTAAAATAACCTTTAAATCTAACCCAGGCTTGCATTAAAGACCAGATATTGGCCTTTTACACCCTACATTACCTAATTTATTAACCTAATAAAAAGAAGTGTAGACAACATGAGGTTAAATTTAATTAAATTATAAATGTTTTGAAAACAAAAGTGAGAAGATCTTTTGTTGTTTTAGTCACACAGACTTTTTTATTAATCCTTTTTTTCAAACAAGAGAAGCTTTGTGCCCTTCAGACAGATGCTTAATATGCACAAACTCTGGCTTGAAGAAGAAAGCAGGAGTAATAGCCAGGCTTTTCCGTTAGTGAATACTAACTGAAGGACTTTTTGTGCAAGCTTAGTAAGGCAATTATATGGTATGAATATT